ATCTACTGTTTTTATTTTTTATTTTATTACTGTAATGGTTAATTTATAGAAAAGATAGTAAATGATTGTGACTCAGTACCTTTCCTGTCTGCGAATGACGAAAGTAGTTGGTCTTGATTTCGCTACTAGAATAGAGAGGGAGTGTTTATGGATGTGGATTAAGCTTTGGCAAAATTTATTCAAACCATCCATCCAGTACATTGATTTTCTTTTGTATTCTGTTTGACTAGAGCTTGTGCTATTTTGGTTACTATCCCTATTCGATAAATGATTCAATAGATGTTACTAGCTTTTGTAATTTAAGACTTATTAGTGGTAGACTTTAATCTAGCTACGTTTGTGACTTATTATAAAATGGTTCTTTTTTTCGCAAAAATATCAAGTTAATATTTAGTATTACCAGTACGTTTCAACACAAATCCCCTTCAAAACACCATACTTTCTACTCTTCACAGCTGAAAGGCTACTTAACTTAAAGACGTCCTTAAGTCTTTCTGTCGCTACAAGACATCTTAGGAGTAAGGGAGATAGCACGAGACTTAAAACTCTGTTACTTCCAAGTCCCGGCTTATAACGCTGACACAAGCTGATGATTGGTTATAATTTTCTGACAGTGTTACCAACATTAAAATTCAAACTTAATTTTTTCAATGCCAAAAGCCTAAGTGTCAAAAATTTCTTTAAAAATAGTATACCAAGGTTAAATTTTAAGCCTTGTTTTAATAATTTAAATGCTCTTTACATGTGTTTGTCTCCCGTTCACAGATAGCTACCAGGAAGAGTGTAATTACATTAGTTTAACGTGTAGGTGTGCACACAAGCGCACAAGTACCGCAATATTTGCACAACAGCTTTATCAAACGTCAAGAGCAACAGACGTGTTTAATGTCGCATCTGTACAAAATATAATACAAATAATACCACTGTTTGTCAGTTTGTGTGTCTTAGTTTTTAGTGTATGGGACGTGAGAATTGTCCATGACGTGTTAACTGTTAACATTGGTCATATATGACATATAACACCCACGCCTCACGTGGGTGAGGTAAAAACTGATATCAGAAGTTACCAGATTTGTGCTAATTATAACTTTAGTCTCTGGTACACGACTCAAATCACTCTTAATATACCTAATAATTAATCTACAAATAAATTTGTTGAGCAGAAAATTTGCATTCATAAAGACAGGCCCTAAGACATGACTCTAACCAAAAGATCATCTCTAAACTGCTCCTAATTCATTTAGATACCAGGGTAGCAACATAGCAAGGAGCTAATAGTCAAAAATGGATAACTCAAACTCAATGACTTAAGAAAACCTACCAACTTATCACCCCTTATCATCCTTAATATTTTTATCGTAAAATAAATATCAAACAATCTTTCCTTGATCTAAATATTATACAATTACTCTAATGACACATTTTAATTAATAATTAAATGTTTGTGTAGTTGTATCTTAACAAATCTACGTGAGATAATAACCTAAAAAATACGTGCAAGTAAATAAATCATGACACATGTATCGTTAAGACTTTAAACACACGTGTTGTGTTTTACTTGTTTGTTCTATATGATAAGGAATACCGTGTTTTATGCTTCAAGAGTTAACGGCAATCTCATTTAATTATTTTATTTGATACACTAGTCTGTACTAAGATAACATATTTCGTTTGGAACTACCAACATTTGGTTCAGAAGTACCGTCGCGGTTGTGGACGCTTCATCTCGGAAAGTTTTTTGTATCAGTGCTTGAAACATACTCGAAGTTAATTTGGATTTTCTGCCTTATGCTTTGTGATTGTGCAATTTAGACGTATGTATTTTTAATTTAGATTTTACATTGACTTCAGTCTTGTGTTTAAAAGTTGACAGTTTATGCCTATTCTTTGTCAGTTATCCGGTCGCTTTCGCAGTAGCGAAAGTGTGTTTCGCAGTAGTGTCTTCTTACCAAACGGTTAAAGCCTTCCACTAAGTTCTTCAAGATGCACCGCAACCAACGTCCAATTATCCAATAATATGACGTCCAAAACAAATAAGATTTGTTTTGCCAGACGTAATGCGTCACAGTACGACACTTGACAAATATTAGCACACTTGCTTACCCCGCCTCACGACCTTATCGCTGTTTGAACTAGCTCTTACACCCTACCCCTCTTGGGCCCATCCCAGATACAGGGCTCTTAAGGACGTTTAGATAAAATCTTCTAAGCATTTCGTCTTAATTTTTGCGAGCCCTAAAGTCTGATGGCCGGCCATAACATCCCAAACGATCCTTGAACAATTTGTTTGATAATCTCCAAATGTAGGCTGTAAAAAATCAATTACCAACTATTTGAAACTTCACTAAAATATATTGATAAAGTTATAAAGGAGAGGTAATAAATTACAGAGGCATTCAGCTATAGCGTAATTATACGACTCGTTTCTGATATCGAAAATCAATTCTGTATAGAAAAGGACTTGCGTGAAGGTATTTCAGTAATCTTACACCGAACGCCCGTGTTATACATATTTATTATAGTTTCTAAGCGTCTACTACGAAACGTAGTACTTACTCACACATAAAATGTTACAATGTCGACGTTGTTGTACTATCTAGCTACATGATTACTTTGGTGACGATGTCGTAAATGTTGTCTATTACGATTATGACACATCCTCGTCTATTTATAAACGATAATAAAGACACTAATCACTTTTATTCAGCGATCTATTTTCAATGAAATAAACGAGCCAAAGAAATGGTCTTTCCAAACGTGAATCTAAAGTTTCGATTAACTAACTAGGATTCCACGTGAGTTCGATTTGTTTTACACCCAAGGGAGCTGTCTGGTTGGAATAAAATAAATGAGGCTATAAGCTCCCTCTGTGTAAAGTTGAACTCGTCCAAGGATTTAGGAGCTGTAGCAATGAATCAATGCTAAAATACAAGCAATTACACGAATCAATTTGATTTCAAACTGTCGGACGATACTGATTATTCAAAAGGTACAATAAACAATAAACAGAAATAATATTACTGGCAGAATCAAAACTTAACACAACTGCAAATGTTTCTTACCAATTTTGTTTCGAATCACGCCCCAGAACTTGTACAAAGTTATTTGCTCAACGTTATCCCATAAACCAGTAATCTGAACTCGCAACACCAAGTTTAGTGTAAACTCTAATACCCGGGAGATATTCCAGCTGTACAATAATTAATTCTCCACTGAAGCCAATACGACTGGCTTTAAATACATGCACTAAGATTCTGGCCTAGACAAAGGCATGCTCCACATTGCCCACAGTACTGGTTGGGTTCACAAGCAAATCTATTGTGATATACGCTCACGGACCGCTGCGTTATTCTCTCGTGTATGAACAGAACAATATCATTCAGTTGTTCTATTACCGCTCTGACGTAAAAAGCTCAGTAGTAAATAGTAATACCAACTTTACCGTTGTTTTCTTTACTTTTGTTTCTAAAGCTACTTTTCTAAAATAGTCGAGGTCTTGATCATACAGAACTTTTTCACTATAGTCAAGGAGTGCTCAATGGACTTGGGAACTACATTCCGCTTGTCTATATTTATTGGTGTCTAACCCAATCTATCTGTCATCTTACCTCGTTTTCCGCTGTTACAAGAACAAATCGTTTAACGATTCGTGCTGTTCTTACATTGTTCTACAATGAAATAAAAGATCGTATTTCCGACATATAATATCTTTATGTATGCATAAACATTAAGGTCGTGACCAACATTTTGTTCAGCAAGCGTGCAGTGGATGTGAAATATTTTGTATTTAAAAAGCTTTACGGTCACAAACGAAAATAGAAAAGTCATCTCTTTTATTTAAAAAGCTGTTTGCACCGTTAATTGGTGAAAAATATGTTCCGCAAATGTTTTTAAAGCTAGTATTTTCTCGGTCAGAGTTGTTTGGTGTGGTCGTGTTCACGTTTTATTAAAAATATGTTTTATTTCGCGAAACATTGAACTAAGTAACGGATAGTGGTTACTGCTGTTTTAACTTTAGTATTATAATTTCTCTCATGCATAAGCTTCAAATGAAATCGGATTAAACAGAAAGCCTGCGTATCAGTTACAGCGAACCCACTACCGCTTGCTATGAACGGCTTTCATTGAACAAAATCGCAATGATATATTACGACCACATCTAACGGAGCATATCGCGGTACCAGGAACAGTATCCGGCACAATTCTGAGCTACAGCTTTGCAATTAGTCACTCGATCCACTAATGCTTGCATTTGAACGCGGAAGTGCAGCAGGAATCCATTCTCTAAATATAAAATGCCCTGGTTACACTCAGTAATGGTTTGCCGGTAAATGGACTTGTCTTGTTCAGTCCTGGCGAAAATAGATCAAGTCTCGAGTGGTAGCTTAGAAATAATTTCTACCACAGTTATTGCCACATAACATTTTAAAACGGTCACACCAAAATCTAAACACTTTAAACATAGCCAGCTCACGACCAAGTCATTTACATGGAAAACGTAAAATTAAAACCTAACTTTGAGGTTTTTCAACACTAATTGATGCTAAGTGCGACTTTTTGAACGTTTGAGCAACTGAAAATCTGACTAGGAGTTCTCTACGGACTATGTAAATGAATGCGCATAATATGGAAGTTACCCAAGCATAGTTCACTTGCTAATTTCTAATGAAAAAGAGTTTTAGTGCTAGAAAGAGTATAACTGCAAGGCAAGGTATTGCATAACTTCCTACTTCGTCTTCACTTAATGTTTAAAGAGATAATGGTGAATTATCTAGAATTGTAGTCTGTTAATGTACATAATGACAAACTAGTATAATTATAATGTTTTAAGAAAGAAATTGGACTCTGTGGTATTCGATTTCCAGCGATTTTCAATTCCTTCTTACCTTACTTTAACCGTGATCGATCCACCAGCTATTTGTTTGCTCCACTTTTTGAGGGACGTAGTGACGAATGTTTTTCCTGTTCGTTTCAATAAATCTGTTGTTTCCTTGTTTCAGTTCGCAACCTGCAGCATAATAGGGAGCCATACGCCGCGGCGGAAAGACGGGTGCGACACGCACTCGTGGTATGTATCCAATATACAAGTTTATTAAATCCTTTAGATGTAGTGATTTTCAGGGACTTCGAATTACTACATAAGCTAAAACTTCGTATGATCCAGAAACCGTATGACTAAAACCTCACATTAACAAAAATTCTCAGGTTAATATCAAAAGAAATTAAGTTTCCCGTCGAAAAAACATTTCATTAAATTCATCTCACAAAACAGGTATGCTGAAATATGATAATTTTTCCAAATTATAAAGTCACTTTCGGAATATAAATTAACCGCGTAATTTTCCTTGTATCCACGGTGGTTTTGATTTAATTTTTAGTTGAACTTAAATTTCCATCGCTTTAGTATTTTATTCTGCTATTATTAACAACATTTTCATTTTCCTTACGTCTGTTTCTACACGATTCTGTTATAACTTCTCCGTCCCCGTTGTGTTTGCATACTGTGACATCAGTATCTGCTAGTTCCGATTTGTGTTCAATGTTAACAATAAACTGAGAGGCTTCTGCAGTAGCCTATCTACCTCGTCCGTTATGCACATCGCTTCTGACACACTCCGCAACAGTTACTCACTTACCGTTGATACCTTCACCACTCGTATTTCAACTGTCGATACGTCAACTCTTTTTGTGTCCACCGTTCAGATCCGATGACACATTTTCAATCCCAATTCGATTTCTCTTTTGTATCCATTTATGCTTTTAAGGTTATTCGATTTTGTTGCTACATGTCTGATTACTTCAAATTGTTTGTGATTTATAGCATTATTTTAAGGAACTGTTTTAATAAACTGTCCTAATTGCATTGTGGTCGGATGTATTATTTTAAGAATCAACTGTGTAATGTTCAAGATCTTTAAATGGAAATTAATTTTAACATTACAGCGATCCCTCTGTAATAGATTCAAGTATAAAATAAGACCTTTGTTCATGCATATCACGTCCACGGTCAGAATTGTGCCGAGGTTCCCGCAAATCGAATTAAGCCACGTCTGTACTCGGTGAAGGTATAACGGAGCTTCCATTTAGATTGCACTAACAATGCACGGAGGGTATGTTCGATTAGACGAATATCGATTACAATATGTCGACTGCACGACGTAATCCCTCGATCGTATCTCGTTTACAGACATACGAGTGCGGTCTGTTAAAATACAAGATAAAATGAACCGATCCGCAGTAACGTGGATATCTCGCCGTCCATTATTCTAGATAGGATTTGGATGAAGATTAGTTTCGCGGTAATAAAGATTTAAATTGCGGAAATTGTGTAAGATTATTCTCGACGGCCATCCCAAAAGAAAGAGACTATAATGGCGCTATAAAACAGAGACGTGTTTCTATAGCAGCGACTTGACAAAAAGGCTAATGATTAATTGCTTTGAAGAACGTACGTACCACCGTATTGTTGGAAACGTTTACATCAAATGACTAATTGAAAAATCAAACGACCAAAAGGAACGTTTAATTTTTAGGTTAAGTGCTATTGGAAAAATAATTCCCTATGAAATTCTTTCCAAGAAATAATAAGTTTTCTTTCTAACTGACTTCGACTGGCGACGCAAAGCAATTAAGATTTGCTCGAAATGCTAGAGATTGTGGAATTTGTTCCCGGCAAACCATCCAATTAAATTTCATCATCATCAATCTGGTGGAGCTGACTGCACATCACAACATAAAGCCGGTTGAAAACCAAATCCAATTACAAGAACGACCCGTTCAGCTCAAAACACGTCCAATTTATCACAATCTCAATGAAGTTTCTCAAATATGATTTCTATTACGAAATCAAATAGAGTTCTATCAGATCGCTCTTTTAAGACTCGGAAATGGAATCGATAACTTAAAAGGCTTGCAGTGATACGTCACTCGTGTGCTCGAAGATGCCTTGAAATGCAGAATGCGTTTCCATTCAGTGAAGGCAGCTCTTGAGATAGTAAATAATTTATAACCGGTCAACTTTGAAGATTAAAACGTGGGCAGTCATTGGATGTTAACGTCAAATTAATTCAGTTTTATCTCTAGTTGTAATAAAACGTCACATCGGTCTGTTTTAGGACAATGGACACGTAGAGCTTAAATTTTAAAAAGTCAGCCATTGTTATTTCGTAGTTAAAGCGAGCACCGCTATCAGAATGGATTAATCTAGTTAATTCTGTAGTTTCACTTCTATAAGTGATTGTTTAAAGTGACGTTATACATACATTTGCGGTTTCTGGTCCCTCTCTGTAACTGCAATCAATTAAGGGTGTACTGCACGTTGGAAACTAGTTATTCGAATGGTGCTTAGCTGTAGTATATATTGTTGGGCCTCGTGTGACACTGTCCTGCGTGCTTACGGGTTAGTTTGGCTTAGTTGCAACTTTGTGAGACAATGGCTGACACTATTAATGTTGGCTGACTGAATAGTGACGCTATTGAAAAGTCGAGTTCCCACTTTGACGTTGCTGGTTTTATCGAACGTGCTCCATCGTTTGATGATCGAGTTGTGTCATAGTTTTATAGAATTTTAGAAGCTTTTGCTGTATCTTTATTGCAGCTTCTTTATCTTTAATCCGAATCTATCTTTTATCTTGTTGTCTAAACATTAGTTTAAATTAATGGTTTGCTACGTCGATGTTTCTATTCCCACGGCATATATTTCTAATTCGTCCCCAAGGACTACTAAAAGGAGTGTCATTGAACTTAAATGTCTTGAAATAAGCTTTCTTTGTTAATATCTGTAGTAAAAACCCTACAATTTACTTTTATAAGAAATGTTATAACACCTTAACTGCGTGCGTCATGGTCTACTGAGTTTCTGGAAAGTTCTATGAACCCGATTTTTTTTATTTGAAGTGTCGTAAGATTGTTTTCAATTGAACATGTTTTTCCACTTTGTTTTTTTCAATAGCATGTTTTATGCCTATGTAATTCTATCTTATTTGTTATAAAAACTTCAAAGTACACCCTGATAGTCTTAATAATGTTGTTTATTTACCGTACTGTCTGTTTTATCGTTGTGGAAGCATGTTGACTTAAAGAGTCCGTCTATTATCAACTAAGTCATAATTATTCGGTATGAGTTCCACGTCCATAGATTACTTAATGGCGCTTTATAAGCATGATCCATGCTCCTTACAGCTGGCGCTTTGCCTACGAATGACAATTACCTCATAGACGTGACGAATTGCCGATAATAAACACAGAATTTTTATAGTATCCGGGCGCTTTACTACGAACGATAAAAAGCTAAATAAGAAATTCGCAATAAATATTTCCTTCACTCCAACATTTTCTCCATTAAAAACCCTCTGCAGTACTTCAGTATAAAAATTACCGATTTCTGAACAGTTAACGCCAGTTAACCGACCCCACGTAACCCACTTAACGCAATTTATATAAGGATTTAATATAATTAAAACGCACCCGTTTTGTGTTGAACCTAGGCTAATTAACCGGCCAGAATGCCCTTTATGGATTTAACTTTTTCATATTGTTCAGCTCGACTAAAAACAAACTGTCGATCGTTCAACTTTTAATGAAGCCAGCCGCCTTATAACGGCCAGAAGTAGCTTAAAGAGAAACGTTATCTCAGTTTATTTTTGGGATAATAGATTAAGAAAACTGTTCCATAAAATGAAGAGATTCCGAGCCGGAAAGTCAACGTGAGGGACACGTTTTTAAGAGCGAGCTGACAGAAAAGGGTCTTTACTAAACGACTTTCTTGAGTCTTTCATTTTTAGTTCGAATTGCATAATAAGAACCATACTCCTCTTTTATGTTTCACCATATCCAAAATGTACGTTTAAATTTGGCTACAAATTCTACCGCTATTCTAAACAGCCTCTGTTAGCTTTGACAAACTGACGACATTCTATCCGGTTTGTCAGCGCAAACATAAAATCCAATATCCATTCTCTGCCTAATCACAACACCCGACCGTGATGACACCTATCAAATAGACCAACAAACAAATAGGATCTAGTCCAGTTTGCATTTATATTAAGTTTCCCAGCTCTGACAAAGTAATATAATCAAAAACTTAGTTCTGGTCAGGCCAGCTCTCGGCGTGCGAGTCCTGATTAGTTCGCCTCGGTTTAACTGAACCGACACGTGACCCGAATGTTTACGACACACGTTAGCTCATATTGATCCCCGGGTCTATGAGCAAGTAATTTGATATAAAGCCTTTGGAAAAATGTTCGCTCATTGTTTTACACTTTCTTTTACATTTCTTGCTTCTATCCTTACCGCTTACAGTGTTGAAATAAAAAGACTTATAAGTCATGCCGCTTTTAAATACGTTTATTCATTTCAATGGTCATTTCTATCTAAAAAACTACTCTTCTAATTGAATACAGATAAAACCCGTCTATCTAATTTTGGGTCTACCTAATTTATTATCGGTCCAACATTCAACCTTTTTGAATCACATCTAAAACAGATCAAAAGCTTTTGTGCTGCTTTTATCGTGTCTTTTGGCAATCGGTTTTCATCCCCGATTTTCCCATTACAGGGACACACATCTAGGCCGCATAGCGGTAGGGCGGCACAGCGGTAGGTACATTGGTAGGGAAGCAGGGCTGGCAGTCACGAGATATACTGATTAGCGGTGACACGGACCGGCTGCGGCGGCCGTGCGCTGAATACACTAGCAATCTCCTTTTAGTTCCGAACTCCTGCTCCGTCAATGTGATATTCGATTGCTTGTGGATTTCAAATTGGTTCTTTCCTGTATTTTTATCTTGGATATTGATACGTAAGTAGGGAGATACAAATAATATACTGTTCGATGTTAATAATAACCGTCCATCATTCCCTTTCATAAGACTTGGAATTATTTTCATGAAATATTGGAAAAGCGACGCTTGTTATTATATTTTTTGTTGATAAAATATTTTCTTCCATAGCTTTCGATTCCAATTAAAATTGCCAATGGCCGATTGGAAACACCCGCTTCATTAGTTCAAAATGCGATTCTGCTGTTACACGGCTCGTCTGTCAGTAAACAGAGTTGCCATTTAAATA